GTCCTCACAACATGCTGTATAATTCATGTGAGAGGAACGGGCTCCTTGATGCCTGACAGTGAGTGGCGGGATCACTCACCCATCGGCCCATCTGGAAGCGTTGCATGTTCTTTTAGTTTCGTGTTCTCGAATAAATCGTCATTATAGAATCACAAGCAATACTTAACAGGGCAGTAACGATGAATATTGCCAGAATGAATGTGAACAGCATGAGAAACAAGCTGCACAAGATTCCAGAAAAGGGTGAGTGAGTTTGGCTTTACGCCGCTTTTAGCAATATTCCAGCAATATCGCGGCGGGGGACACCAGAAATGGGCTTCACACATTGTACCCATGTGGGGAATCGAACCCGGGTCTTCGGCGTGACGAGCGAACGCTTTAACCACTAGGCTGCCCACCGCCCTCCTCAAAAGAAGACAAACTTCTGGCGATACAGATACTGAGTGCTGGTATTCATGGGAGTAACCGGATTATAGTGAGTGAGTGAGTTTAGTTTTACGCCGCACTCAGCAATATTCCTGATATATGGCGGCGGTGTGTAAATAATTGAGTCTGGACCAGACAATCCAGTGATCAACAACATGAGCAATTGGGATACAATGACATGTGTCAACCAAGCCAGCGAGCCTGACCACCCGATCCCGTTAGTGGCCTCTTATGACAAGCATGGGTTTCTGAAGATCAAATTGTGTGTGTGAATGCATGCATGTATATATCTTTAGTATTTGTATATATATCGGGGAGTTGATGTGTGTTTTTGTATTTACATACATGTAATTCTCCATTCTTCTTACGTCACACTATTACATGTTCTCGGGTGTGACCCTGACTTTTGCTTGTATCTTGACTGAGTGAGTGAGTCAGTATGGTGTGTGGTGTAGCAATATTCCAACAGTGATCTTATGAGCACATTCCCTTTTGTGGCCTTTTCATCTCCGACGCTGCGCCTTTCTGAGCAGACCTACATCTCACGTAGAGGAAACGTGTTTGGAATCCCAACCCAATCAGATGTTATTTTCTAGTTTTCTATAATGCAACCATGCCTGTTCCCTAGGAAACATGCCGCATGCTGTGAAACATTTACTTAAAATTGTGATCTGTGATTAGAATATTGATCTTCAGTAACCCATGCTTGTCGTAAGAGGCGACTAACGGGATCGGGTGGTCAGGCTCGCTGACTTGGTTGACACGTCATAGGTTCCCAATTGCGCAGATCGATACTCATGCTGTTGATCACTGGATTGTGTGGTCCAGACACGTTTATTTACAGACCGCCGCCATATAGCTGGAATACTGCTGAGTGCGGCGTAAAACTAAACTCACTCACTTAAAATTGTATTTGGGTCTGAGGTTGTCAGAAGCGGATGGCAGAATAACACGGGTTCAATTTTGACGGATCATATTTCTCAGGGGTACAGACTCCCCAATCACCGGTAAGTCGTCCGGAGAAGCAGTGAGTGAATGAGTCTCTTTAGCCGATAACGACAGAGTGAAAGGAGCATCGTTTGATGGAGCCCTGGTTCATTAGACCATCTATTCTCAGGAGGGGAATATTTCAGGTCTTAACTGGGCAGGCGAAGGGATAATTCCAGTCACAGACATTTCATGACAGTAGTTAAGTCTAGTTAATCATCCGTTCCCAACCCACTGGCGCAGATGAGATTTTCAAAGAAAGGTTGTCTCGGATTCAGTGTTGTTTTTTGTAAATCTTCAGATAGGAATAAAAATAAAGGTGATTTACATAATGTCTTGGTGAATCAACCCGATGAAAGAATACACAGGGAAACTCATTTACATGTAGATTTTACCCTTTCATTTTTTCACAATATGATGTAAAATGGAATCTGAAGCAAGCGTCAACTTCAAACGAACGGTTCCAGCCAATATTCTATGTGTTTTCTTGGCCCACCATACATCGAATGTTTTGAGTTACCTGATTAAGCTAAATCAATACATTATTAACAAAAGCTTATGTATCTCTATTTTTATATACACTGAACGGATAATTTAATCTTGTGTAGTTTACATACCTATGAACTATCAACTATGTTCGAGTATGAGTCGGTGAGTTTGGTGTTAAGTCGTCTTTAGTAATACTGAGTGAGTGAGTGAGTGAGTGAGTGAGTGAGTGAGAGTGACTGAGTTTAGTTTGACGCCGCACCAGCTATATGGCGGCGGTCTGTAAATAATCGAGAGTCTGGACCAGGCAATCCAGTGATAAACAACATGAGCATCGATCTACGCAACTGGGATACGATGACATGTGTCAACCAAGTCAGCGAGCGTGACAACCCGATACCATGGGTTACTGAAGATCAGTTCTAAGCCGGATCTTCAAAAAACTAAATCACTCACTCATGTATAAGTTTAAAAAAATAAGACAAAGAAACTTCTAACGGCATCAACTTTGTGTCGTGACTGCTCACATCCTTAAAACATTTTAAGGGCAGAATTTCAAATAAGCAACAAATTGATGTCCAAGATATTTTTATGGATTAAACGTCTTTTGTAATTTCTCTCACGACGTTTCGAGACCATTCCAGGTCCCTTCATCAGGTGAACTTGATCCTGATGAAGGGACCTGGAATGTTCTCGAAACGTCGTGAGAGAAATTAAAAAAAAGAAGTTTAATCCATAAAAATATATCTTGGACATCAATGTACAACTTCTAAATGCCTCTGAAAGACATCAAGCAACAAATTATTCAAACATTGTTGTGCAATATTAAAACAGACGGAAGAGCTATTGAATGTTTAGTACGAGACATCACGGTTCAAGGATATATATTGCATGTTGCACATTAATAATTAACCCAAACGGATGATATTAAAAACGCTTTGTGTTGGAGGAGGAAAGACATATGTCTTGGCAGTGCTTTGAACAGTCGCAGGGAGTCTCCAGTGTACAAATTACCCGCAAGCGATCTTACAGCTATTTTCGTAAAAAATACAAATCCCTTTCCATTGCCGGCGTGCAATTTTAATGTCACCACTCCCATTAAACGTCATGCGACAAGGAAGCCTGAAAAAGAATACTAGTACTTCGGAATCTTGTAAGGAACATTTGTCGCGATCAGATTTTGACAATTTTCTTTGTTTTCGTTTTCAGCGAACGCCTCAACCATTAGGCTACCTCAGTCTGTGTGAAAATGTTCCATACTACATACTAAGGTTATATGTTTTTTCATAGGACTCTTAAAAGGAATAAATAAATAAATAAATAAATAAATAAATAAATAAATAAATAAATAAATAAATAAATAAATAAATAAATAAATAAATAAATAAATAAATAAATAAATAAATAAATAAATAAATAAATAAATAAATAAATCTTCAGTAAAGCATGCTGGTCGTAAGAGGCAACTAACGGGATCGGGTGCATGGTCAGGCTCGCTGACTTGGTTGACACATGTCATCGTATCCCAATTGAGTAGAACGATGCTCATGCTGTTGATCACTGGATTGTCTGGTCCAGACTCGATTATATACAGACCGCCGCCATATAGCTGGGATATTGCTGAGTGCGGCGTAAAACAACCAACCAACCAACCAACTGGCTACAGACTCGGGATTCTTGACCGGTTTTCCAAGTGTGCGCTCATAAAAGGTAATCGCTCCACTAACTTCATTACAGGTCAAGCATCCGATGCTTATTATAATGACTGATAAATCGTATAAATATTATAAACTTTCTATTCCGATATAAGAATAATATAGTTTTGGGCGAGGATTGGATTTCAAAGTATTGTATACAAACTACAGACACGGGAACATTATATTCAACATGTCGGGCACTATTGCTCAATATAACACTGACTGACTGACTGAGTTTGGTTTTACGCCGCTTTTTGCAATATTCGAGCAACATCACGACGGGGGACACCAGAAATGGGCTTCACTCATTGTACCCATGTGGGGATTCGAACCCGGGTCTTCGACGTGACGAACCAACGCTTTATCCACTAGACTACCCCACCGCCCCCTCAAAATAACAAATATAACGGGTCTTTTTTCTTTCGTTTGCTGATTAACGCTGCTCTCTGGAATATCCCAGCTATGTGATGGCGATTCGTAAATGCTCGAATCTGGACCAGACAATCCAGTGATTGGTATTATGAGCAACGCGCGTTCGCTCTATGCTTATCATGGTGTGAGTGAGTGAGTTTAGCTTTACACCGCGTTTAGCAATATTCCAGCAATATCATGGCGGGGGACAACAGAAATGGGCTTCACACATTGTACCCATGTGGGGAATCGAACACGGGTATAATTCGGCAGAACGAGCGGACGCTTTATCCACTCGGCTACCCCACCGCCCCATAACACGTTGTGACAATACGCTGTCAACAAAGGCACCAATGGAGCCTGACCACTCTATACAGTCACGGCGAATGAAACAGGTTGTTTGGACCTATTCTAAACGTTTCGTTTTGTTATTCACACCCAACGCCCTTCTACAGAGAGTCTTTGTAGCCCATCACCATTATTCGACCTGACGCAGTCAATATAGTACCACATATAACAGTAGCTATATCCTCACCAAAATAGTATGGGTCGATAATATTCAACATGCGTGGATCCCAGTATTGCAATTACTGGTCATTTTCAGATAAATTATAATTAGTGATTAGTCTGTCAATAAATACAGTCGATATTTTCGCCATTTCAGCATTTCCAGTTTTCAACCTTAGACATACATTTAAATTGTTTACCCCAAAAAACGTTCATGTATCTAGGTACATATGTCGGTCTTATATATTTGAAAGAAAGTTCTTCATCGCCTTTGTCCTTTCAAAGAATAAATTCTGATTCTAAAGGCAACACATTCCTATACCAACACGCCCTTCGGATTAAATAGCCGTAGTTCGTTAATCCAGACGAGTGCATTTCTTCTCATTGCCTGAAGAAGCATTGAACACCGAACGACTGAAATGGACAAGGGGGTCGTGGGAAGCGGCTACATTGTTGACATCGCAGTACGCATGCGCAGTGAGTTAAGGAATAGCAGATGACACTGGCGATGTAATGGCAGGTGGATATTAGAGCGGAGCAATGGAGCTTATTTTACTGTTTCTCACGAGCTTGGTTTTCACGCTAGGTAAGTCAGCGTTTGTGTGAGACGTTTTGCCTATGTATTAAATGTCTAGAATTGAAAGCGTCATTTTAGAATCCAATATCCAGCGCGAAGATCGGTCGGAACACGAATATTCGATCTATTCTTTGTGCTTATGCCATTTGAATGACAACTGATAACGAATGATATTCTGTTCAGCGTCTTCTGCTGGTATTTGGTTACTGTCGCCTTTGGAATAATGCTCTTAATGTGCATATCAGTGTTTGCTTACACGTTGTCGTGTTAATTCAATATGCAGTAAGGTAAACTGTTACTTAATTATTTGTCTTCATGAATCGGAGGCCGACATTGAAGATTCTGTGAATGTGGTACAGTATGTCTTCAGACATTGATTGATGAAATGCAAGAAAATATTAGTGTAAATGCGATTACCAGGTTACAAGAAACTGGTTGTAAGAATTACTTAGTTTTCGTTATAAATACAGTCATTAGAATTATAAATGTGTACATTTGATGAAAGTCACAGTTGATTTAACGTTGTGAAAGGGCAGATCTTTCAAACCATGCAATTATTGAAACATTTTATGAAACTTTTCATTTGAAACTATATTGTATACAAAGTCTAAAACTGTTAATGATAGAATTATTTTCAATGTATTATTTGGTTATCAAAAATTTACAACAATAACTGATCAAACTTGATCATGCTTCCAGGAAAATATGCTATTCCCCTTCAGCTACTTTTTGAGCACTAGACTGACACTCATATTTGAGGGTTTAACTGTGGGGGCTGGTTTGCTCAGCTGCAGAATTTCTGTACTTCTTTTTGGCATATTTTAGCAAACATTTTTAGATGGGAAGTACAACTCCGTTGCCAGTTGTAACATTTGTATAATTCCAACCTTCGAAGTCCATTTGTTTGTCAGGGAACTCAAATTTGATCTCAGTCAATAAGTCACCCAATGACTGTCTTAATTATAAAGACAATATCTCATTTTCGCATGAGGTAATAATGTACAATACATGAGGCAACTTAAACCAATGTTGGCATTTGCAACAATGCATGCAATAGTAGTGTAACGATCGTTGGGCATATGGTAATATTGTTGCAAAATGGTAACGAGCTTATATGGTGATTTGTAAAATACTGTTAACATAACCATATTTTCTTGTGTGTATTGCATACCTCTTTGTGTGAAATTATAGGAAAATAATTGGCAATCGCAACATGTTACAAGTGCCCAGGTCCTGCTCAAATTTATTCATTGTGTTAGTAGCGTTTTTGTTATTCCCACTAACTATGGAATATTTCTGTTGTAAAGCGTCATTATAGTGTGTCGTGTATTGTCCTGCTGGATTAATAACGAGATATTATGCACCATATTGCATTTATCATTGCCCGTGTTTTACCTTGCCACTGAAAACTTGTGCATATGACGATGCCATACACAAAGAGAATACCGACACAGGTTCCCCTTTGTGACAGTCATGGTCCAGATCACACTATCTGACAAAATCAATAATTTAATAACACTTTACTGTTGGCATATTAAAATTGAACTGGTCATATCCCTGTACAATAAAATATGGCGGACATCTATGTCTAAAGGCGAAAACCAATTAAACGCCCCCTTTAATCTGCGACTCCCTGTACCACAGCAAGAGCCTCGTAATGGCACCTGGGTTTAAAAGGATGAAGCAACTCCTGCCTACTTAAACCAAAACATGCTTACTGGCACCGTGATATGTCCACTGAACAATGGAAGAAATTACTCTCCAACTGACCAAGATCAGTCATTTATCTGGCCAGCATTCCAAATTAGTTGAAGGGAACCCTTGTCTTGATGCTATAGTCTAGAAACCACTTAATCGTTAACTGTTCGACTTGGTGGGAGATACCTCAGACAATGCTCTCTGCAACATGTTGGAGCTTTGATTTACATTGTGTACTCCCGATATCCATGATATTTTATAAGCAGTTCTGTTTCAGACCAACTGTTACTTATTTTAAGACAAAATCATAAGTGCTGTACAAAATCTTTCATATTTAGTGTTCATTAGGGTTGTGTATTTTATTTTTTTTATTTTTTTATATTATGTTTTATTTTCATCAAAGATCAAGCCAAAGTTTCTCATTAGCAAGTAAAGTTTCATCTTGTCATTTCTCTCCATCAAGATTTGTTCATTTTATTATCTGTGGTTCAAAATGAAGTCTTTGAGGATTGATGTGGTGTTTAAATGTGGAATCGTTAACCTTTAAACTCTATATCAGATAGTGCTGGTATTGGCATACAACCTGCGATACGATACATCAAGATACTAAAATTTTAGTCACAACGATATATTGCCAAAGTATTGTGCAGTGAAACTGCGATACGATACAAATCCCGATACAAGCGTGATGATACGATAAGTATCACAATACAACAAAATCTTTAATTCTAACACCAACTATAAAACTCCTGACGATCAAAACCACTTTAAAGTATTTCATCAAATTCCACCAGCGTTTTTCAATGTTCATTCAGAAATGAGATAATTAAATTTATACACAGACTTTGTGAATCTTAATAAAATGCGAGCGCTATGTTTGACACAGTTCCTGACGCAAGAAAGTTATGAAGGGAAAATAAGTATGCATACATTTTAATCATCAAACAAAAGTCTTTCTTGACATATATTGCGATTCGGCTATATTAAGGTAAAACATCGATGTATCGTGGCCCATTTGAAGTATCGTTTCGGGATATACTACAATATAAAACTTTGTATCGATTCACTGTATCGGTGGCCCATGGATTGATGCATGGATGCGTATCAATGAATCGTCACACCACTAATATCAGACCAACTAACTATACATCTGCTATACATTACTTTGGCAGTAGTGTTCTACATTGTTGATATTTATTTTATCATCCAAAACTGTATTCCACAGTAGATATCGCTTGTGTGAGATCAGACGATATCTCCTAGGAGATATCGTTTTGACAGTAGATTTTGTACAATGCCCTGACAATGCTATGACGTCATGAACTTGTTGACATCACAATGTTATGACATCGCTGCACTGCAAATCTAATGGCCGTACTGCGTTCAGAGATGTACATTTTTGATTTTTGATGATAAATAGAATCTCACCCTCGTGTCTTCTGATATCAAGTATATCAAAAGTTGTTGATAAAAGTAAAAATATCCTTGGCAAGCCTTGGATATTTGTTACTTTATCAACTCGTGAGGATATATTTGATATCAAAAGACACTCGGGTGAGATTCTCTATGTATAGAAAGCTTCTGTTTGCTGGTATCAGAGCTGTTTCAAATCTATTAACAAGAGAAATATTTCAAGACAGATTACATATTTCGGTCATTGAATTCTTATTACTGCTGAAGTTATTCATTATAGCACACACACGTTCCTGTAACAATGGTGACATCAAGTCAACCCCAGTGACGATCTAGAAGACAGTATTGTTGTTTCTGATATGTTCCAAAATTGGTACGAATATGTAGGGCTGCGCAATATAACCGGTTTACCGGTATTTACTTGTACAGAGATGAAAACGATACGTTTTACGATACGCTGATCGAAAACCGGTATTTTGACATGCATTCGGAAAACGTCATAACACTTGGAAATCTTCGGGTATTTCCTTGTTCCATTTGTGCCAAATATTATTCACATTTTTATTTTATCATGATTAAAATTTGTTATTAAAGCTTAATCAAGCATAGTGATTTTGTTGTGGGTTTGCTCTATAAATCAAGCAGTAACTCGATTATAAGTAGTTTTTTGTTTAAAAATACTTCATGCAATATATTGCAATGCATATCGCAATACATGCTTTTGCATCGCAATATATCGCAATATGAAAATTTTCTGCAATACCCACCCCTACGAATATGTAATATGGACATGTGTCAACCAAGTCAGCGAGCCTGACCACCTGATCCCGTTAGTCGCCTCTCACAACAAGCATGGGTTACTGAAGGTTCATTCTAACCCAGACCTTAAAATGGGTAGTCGCCTCTTACGACAAGCATAGGTTACTGAAGATCATTCTAACCCAGATCTTCACGGGTAGTCGCCTCTTACGACAAGCATAGGTTACTGAAGGTTCATTCTAACCCGGATCTTCGCGGGTAGTCACCTCTTACGACAAGCATAGGTTACTGAAGGTTCATTCTAACCCGGGGTGCGGTGGGGTAGCCTAATGGTTAAAGCGTTGGCTCGTCACGCCGAAGACCCGGGTTCGAATCCCCACATGGGCACAATGTGTGAAGCCCATTTCTGGTGTCCCCCGCCATGATGTTGCTGGAATATTGCTAAAAGCGGCATAAAACCAAACTCAGTCAGTCAGTCAGTCATTCTAACCCGGACCTTCATTATCACTGTGGTCAAGTCACTTGGAACATTTCCTTAATTAATTTCATTTTATCTTGTTTAAACACATTTAACTGCATCTACAGCACAATGATAGATTATGAAAAAGTCGTCAGTGCTTTCAACTGAATTAAAAAATAAACATTAAACTCTTGACCTCCTCTTTGAGGCATATTTTCATAACATATGTTCATAATGAAGTTTAAACCAGTTACTTGAAATCACAATGCAAGATTAGGTGCCTGACTAGGAGGGTGTGGGTTTGAATCCCGAATGGGACTTAACCAAAAAAGGTTACAGAGAAAGTGTAATCCCGAATATAACAGATGTTAAATCCCAAGCTGTATGCAAGACTGTTTCAAATTCCTGCTACTTTGTAAAACTAAAAGCTTTAAAAAAATCTCAATTTGGAGAAAATCATGACTTTTTTCCCAGTTTGCCTGCAAAGTGTACTAGTAGCGTGGAATCCAAGACAAATCCCAAACAGCAGCAACGATGCGAGACTCACGCAAATCATCATCAGAGAGCCAGACTTCCTGATTCAATTAAGTTCTCGTCCAACGTGACCTAGGATACTGGAGTTCATTTCCTTCTCATGTTCCTCCAGAATTTATAACCTATTATTAGTTTCATCAGTTAT